AAGGTTTCCTCAAATAGAAACTTTCCTCATTTAGAAGGTTTCCTAAAATAGAAACTTTCCTCAAATAGCAAATGACCCGGAATGAAAACTTTCCTCATTTAGAAAGTTTCCCAAATTAGAAACTTTCCTCAAATATAAAGTTTCCTCAAATAGAAAATTTAATTATTTTCATATAACTATCCTTTTAACAAACCCCTAATGAAATCAATTTCAGATGTCAAACATTCAGAAAGTCGAGTTCGAGGCCCTCAAGGTCTCCGGTGAAAACTATCTCGAATGGGCCCTGGACAACAGGATTTTCCTCAACTCAAAGGGACTGGGTGAGTGTATCAAAGCGGATAACACCGCATCTGATAAAGACCGGTCCCAGGCGATATTTCATATCCGCCATCATTTGGCCGCAAGCCTCAAACAGCAATATCTTACTCTTGAGAACCCACTCGAACTTTGGGTGGCCCTGAAAAAACGGTATGATCACCAGAAAACGGTGCTCTTGCCACAAGCCAAGTTTGACTGGAAGGAACTCCGGTTCCAAGATTACAAATCTGTGGATGACTACAACTCCGAACTCTTTTGGATAGTTTCAATCATGAAACTATGTGGTGAAGAGGTGTCTGATAATGATCTCCTCGAGAAAACATTATCCACCTTCCATACCCAAAATATTGTGCTTCAGCAATAATATCGTGCAATGAAACATACATTGTACGAAGATTTGTTATCCTGTTTGCTCTTGGCCGAGAAAAACAATGACCTGTTAATGAGGAACAGTGCCCAGAGGCCCCCGGGATCGGCTCCAGTACCAGATTCCCGCAAAGAATCCTACAATGTCCAGCGAGACAGATCCTCAGATCGTGGCCATGGACATGGGAATGGACGTGGGAATGGACGTGGAAAGCGTGGACGCGGAAATGGACGTGGCAACCGACATAACCTCGGTTATGGTTCTGGTAAGGGCCGTGGTATCTCTAAACCAAACCGCCCTGCCCACCCAACCAATCAGTCTGCCTGCACCAGTTGCGGAATGTTCAATCACTGGACAAAGAACTGTCGTATTCCCAAGTTTCATTGCGATTTTTATCTGAAACATGGGAAAGCACCTGCTGAAGCTAACATGGCCCTGCAAGTTGATGCTAACGACACCACCATCGAGCCGACCGATCCCATGGACTACAAAATCTCAGATCTCCTCGATTGATTCTATCATCTGAACATGTGTTGTTATCAAACGGCACACATCTGGACATTCCAGATGCATTATACTCACCCAACTCAAAAAGAAACCTTTTAAGTTTTAAAGATATCAGACTTAATGGTTTCCACATAGAAACCCAGGGTGAAGGGAATAAAGAATCCCTACTGATCACTAAGATCACATTTGGCCATAAACAAGTCCTCGAGACTATACCCGCTTTATCTACTGGCCTTTACTATGCCAAGGTCAGTATGATTGAGGCTAATAATGCTCTCAAAGCCCGGTTCCAAGACTACACTATTTGGCACGACCGGCTTGGTCATCCCGGTACAACCATGATGCGTAAATTAATCCAAAGTTCTCAAGGACACACCCTTCGAGAAAACCGAGTCTTCCCTCAGCACCTCATGTGCACAGCTTGCTCCCAAGGGAAGTTGATCACTCAGCCTTCACCAGTAAAAGTGTCCAAAGAGACATTGCATTTTCTGGAAAGAATCCAAGGAGATATCTGTGGTCCCATTCACCACCTTCTGGGACATTCCGGTACTTCATGGTACTAATAGATGGTTCGACCCGTTGGTCGTATGTATGCCTGTTGTCTTCTCGGAACCAAGTTTTTGCTAGGTTGTTGGCTCAAATCATCAGATTACGAGCCCACTTTCCAGACTTCCCACTAAAGACTATACGTCTTGATAATGCTGGTGAATTCACTTCCCAAGCGTTTAATGATTACTGTATGGCCATGGGGGTGACCGTTGAACATCCTGTGGCACATGTCTATACTCAGAATGGACTTGCTGAATCATTCATTAAACGAATCCAATGGATTGCTCGACCATTACTCATGAGGTTGAAACTCCCGGTCTCAGTTTGGGGACATGCAGTATTACATGCTGCTGAACTAATACGCATCCGACCATCTAGTGAGCATAGATATTCCCCATCCCAATTATTACAGGGTCATGAGCCAGACATCTCCCATCTCAAAACATTTGGGTGCTCAGTCTATGTACCCATTGCTCCACCACATAGAACCAAAATGGGACCTCAAAGGAGGATGGGAATATATGTTGGTTTTGATTCTCCCACCATCATCAAATATCTCGAGCCAACCACTGGAGACCTATTTAAGGCCAGATATGCGGATTGCCAATTTGATGAATCGGTATATCCAACATTGGGTGGAGAGAAACACAAGCTGGTCAAAGAGCTATCATGGAATCAAACATCCTTAAATTGGCAAGATCCTCGGACTCTAGAATGTGATTCGGAGATCCAAAAGATTATACACTATCAAAAGCTAGCTAATCAATTGCCAGATTCCTTTGCTGACCCGAACAAAGTAACCAAATCGTACATACCAGCTTGTAATGCACCAGTACGAATCACTGTTCCAACGGGACAAGTTCAAGTTGCTACAGAGTCTGCATCACGAAATAAACGTGGCAGACCTCTAGGTTCCAAAGACAAGAATCCACGGAAATCAAAGAAAGGTGCAATAGTTGAAACCGGGATTCCCAATATAACAGACATAGCGCGCGCTGAGACTCACTCTAATGAACCACCAGAAGAGGTTCGGGACGCCGAATCTCTAGGTTCTGACGAGATCGATAACGATGAGATCTCTATCAATTACAACATGTCTGGAACCCAATGGAACAGAAAAGAAGTCGACTTAAATGCACTCTTTGCATACAAAGTAGCACTTGATATTGCGAACACGCAAGAGGATCTAGAACCCACGTCTATCACAGAGTGCACTCATAAAACAGACTGGCTAAAATGGAAAGAAGCCATAAACGTGGAGTTAAAGAGTCTCAAACTCAGGAATGTGTTTGGTCCGATCATCCGGACACCATTCAATGTCAAACCAGTGGGCCATAAATGGGTCTTTGTGCGTAAAAGAAACGAACTCGGTGAAGTCGTTCATTATAAAGCACGGCTTGTAGCACAAGGATTCTCACAGAGACCCGGAATCGATTATGAGGAGACTTATTCTCCGGTGGTGGATGCAACTACTTTTCGATTCCTCATAAGTCTGGCCATAAGAGAAAATCTAGATTTGCGGTTAATGGATGTTGTCACCGCATATCTCTATGGGCCCCTCGACAATGAAATATACATGAGATTACCAGATGGCATAGAGCTTAAAGATAAGCATGCATCTCGAGATCAATACTGCATCAGGCTGAACAAATCCTTGTATGGACTGAAACAAAGTGGACGTATGTGGTATAACCGGTTAAGCGAATATCTCATCAGAGAAGGCTACAAAAACGATCCCATCAGTCCATGCATTTTCATCAAGAAATACTCAAACAAAGGATTTGTAATCATAGCAGTTTACGTGGATGATCTAAACATCTGGTGAAATCTCCCAAACAGTCGACTGCCTGAAAGCAGAATTCGAAATGAAAGACCTAGGTAAAACTAAATTCTGTTTGGGTTTACAACTTGAGTACGTTAAAGGAGGAATCCTTGTGCATCAAGCGGCTTACATTAAAAAAGTACTCAAGCGATTCAATATGGACCAGGCCCACCCATTGAACAGCCCAATGGTTGTCCGGAGCCTAGGATTGGACAGTGATCCATTTGGTCCCAAGAAGGACGATGAAAAAATTCTCGGTCCAGAAAAGCCATACCTCAGTGCTGTAGGAGCGTTAATGTACTTGGCTAGTCACACTAGACCAGACATCTGTTTTGCCGTGAACCTCCTAGCTCGCTTTAGCTCATGTCCAACTCAGAGGCACTGGAATGGTATCAAACACCTCCTAAGATACCTTCAAGGTACTAAAGACTTAGGACTGTTTTACACTAACCACAACAAGGATGGACTAGTTGGTTTTGCTGATGCAGGGTATCAATCAGATCCGCACAATGCCAAGTCTCAAACTGGTTATGTGTTCACGCATGGAGGAACAGCTATCTCTTGGAGATCGATAAAGCAGACAATCACTACCACTTCATCAAACCATGCATAACTTTTGGCCATTCACGAAGCCAGCAGAGAATGTGTTTGGCTACGATCCATGACTCAGCACATCCGATCAGATTGTGGTATGAAAGAAGATAAGGAGCCCACGGTTATGTTTGAAGACAACGCGGCTTGCATTGCTCAACTCAAGGAAGGTTATATCAAAGGAGATCGGACGAAGCACATCCTACCGAAATTCTTCTCAACCTCGGATTGGCAGAAGGATGGTACGATCAGCGTTCAACAGGTCCGATCATGCGATAACTCCGCCGACCTTTTCACCAAATCATTGCCCGCTTCAACACTCCGGAAGCTCATCCAACAAATAGGAATGCGTAGACTTAGAGATCTACGGTGATGCTCTAATCAGGGGGAGTAATGCGTGTTGTACTCTTTTTCCTTCACCATGGTTTTTCCCACTGGGTTTTCCTGGTAAGGTTTTAATGAGACAACATCCCCCAGCGTATTATCGAGATCCCGATTGACCATCAGGTCCGGTTACTCCGTCCAAGGGGGAGTGTTATAATACATCATATTGGACTTATAACCGGGCCCAATAAGCCCATCAGGGTTATTCATTATGTACTCTAAAACCCTAGGTTTATATGCCTATATATATGTATCATTATTCATAGAATGGAATAAGAGAACAATAAGTTTCACAACAATTAACTCAATTAACACTTGTCTGACTAACTCCAAATATTATCTCTCACTAACTTTAGATAACTACTTATAAGAGACAAATTAAAAAAAAAAAAAACACAATACACACGCCAACAAAAAATTAACTAACTTATAAATAGCGTTTCTCGTCTCACTTCTGTTCACAGATCGCGCATCACCAATCGCAGTCAAAAGGAACGCAAACGCGATCTCTTCTCTCTCAAAAACTCTGATTCTCTCTCTCGCAACGCTTTTTCTTAATTGGATCGTCTATGGCGGACATCGACATCGACGTCGGGAAAGAGCCGCTGATAAACCATGAAAACAACAACAAGAAGAAGATCTTCAATCGCTGCGTCTCCCACCAACAAGACGAGCTACACAGCTTCCGTAAATACCTAAGATGGATGTGCGTAGATCACTCAAGTCCATGGACAGCGATTCTCTCTTGGACCATGTTCGTCGTCTTCACCCTCGTCGTTCCTGCGATCTCTCACTTCCTTCTCGCTTGTGCCGACTGCGACAGTTACCATTCAAGACCTTATGATTCCGTTGTTCAGCTTTCTCTAAGCAGCGTCGCCACCGTCTCTTTCCTCTGTCTCACCAGATTCGTTAGCAAATACGGTCTCCGACGATTCCTCTTCTTTGATAAACTCTGGGACGAGAGCGAAACTGTTCGACGAAATTATACCAATCAACTCAATGTGAGTTTCGATCTCTATTTGAATCACAAATCTGTTTATTTTCTTTTGAAAAAAAAAAAAAACAACAACTAATATCTGCCACAAATTCTAAGTTGAAAAATAGCAATTATTGTAAGGAATTAATATTCTATTCTTTTAGGATTATGGCAAATAATTTGTCCAAAGAATAAAGTCATATTGAAAAGAAAAAATAAATAATAGAACAAAGGAGAAGAATCATGAATATTATAAAGTTAGGAAACAACTCGACGCATCTTACTTAAAGGATTGAGTAACAAAGACAGAAGAAATTTTAATAATTATGTTATTTTCACTCTCTTCTGTAACATTTTTGTGTTTTCAACTTCGGTGAATTCTTTCTAGTAAAAACCTAGATTTTACCATCTTACTTGTTTCACAAGCATTACAATTGTTTTTTTTTTTTTTTTTGTCTTTTTGCAGACTTCGCTTCATATTGTGTCCTACTTTGTGATACCTTGTTTCTCAGCAATGAGTGCATACAAAATTTGGTGGTACGCATCAGGTGGATCTCAAATACCGTTTTTAGGAAACGTTGTGTTAAGTGATACAGTGGCTTGTATAATGGAGCTTTGTTCTTGGCTTTATCGAACAACCGTAATCTTCCTTGTTTGTGTTCTCTTTCGTCTCATTTGCCATCTTCAGATCCTTCGTCTTCAAGACTTTGCTAAGCTTTTTCAGATTGATTCAGATGTTGGTTCTATATTGTCTGAACATCTTCGTATTAGACGTCATCTTAGAATCATCAGCCATAGATATCGTTCTTTCATTCTATGTTTATTGATTCTTGTTACTGGAAGTCAGTTTTCTTCTCTGCTTATTACTACCAAAGCTTACACTGAAGTCAATATGTACAGAGCTGGAGAACTCGCTGTAAGTTTTCTTCAGTCTCCATGTTCATTTCTCGATAAACCCATTTCTAAAAACTTACAGTTTTCTTTGCTTTGATCTCAGCTTTGTTCGATGACATTAGTCACTGCACTTCTGATACTATTACGAAGTGCATCAAAGATCACACATAAGGCTCAAGCTGTGACATGTTTAGCTGCAAAATGGCATGTATGCGCGACGTTAGAATCCTTTGATCAGACAGTAGATGGAGAGACTCCAACTTTGGTTGCTAGAAACAACAACAACGATAACAACAATGGCCATGATGTTATTACGTTGACAGAATCAGACAGCGACGAGTATGGTGATGAAGAAGATGATCTAGACAATAATAACATTATTCCTGCTTATGCTTTCAGTACCATGTCATTCCAAAAACGGCAAGCTCTAGGTAAGAGAATACAAAATTCTCTGCAATGCTTTTTTTTTTTGTCTGAATGGTTTACTTAAAAATTATGTCTCGTTGGATTTTTTTGTAGTGAGTTATTTTGAGAATAACAGAGCAGGAATCACAGTGTATGGGTTTACACTTGATAGAGGTACTCTCCATACAATCTTTGGACTTGAATTGTCTCTTGTTCTCTGGCTTCTCGGTAAAACCATTGGAATTTCTTGAATCTCTTTTGGGATCATCAAGAAACCTCCTAATGTTTTGGCAATGAATCACTTTCACTTTCTAATTTCTACTGTAAATCAAATTATTTGTGCTTTAAATACGCCACTGTATTATTACTGTTGTTATAGAGTTCATGTTATTATTGTAAATTAGATTCGAAATAAAAAAAGCCTTTCTATTTATCTCTCTTGTGTTTTGTGAATTTTTACAAATTCTTTTAATTCTAGCAAAATAGATAAATTTATTTTCCGAGTCTCTCTACAATACATATCATGTTACTAGATGATGTAGGAATTTATAAGGTTACAGTGAATTAAGGAAATATTTCACAAAGTGTCTTAAAAAAGGTTCAAGCTAAACTACTAAGCTTAAACTAAATCCGTCACTACTTATGCTCAGAAAATTGAACGGCCACACGCACTTCATAGAATAAAACATTTAGTAATTCAACCTACCCCAAAAAGGTTATATCAAATACATCATCACTTACTTTATATATACTTGAGGACCAAATAGAGTGCGAGTACTGACTGCCGTGGACAGAGTGAATTCTGATTCCTGCAAGTTTTGTCTGAAACATTTAAAAGCTTTTGTCTTCCTCTGGATTTTCTGTGACATTTTTCTGTATAGCCTCTTCCACATTTGGTGTCATGTTCTGCGGTTGGGAATGATCTGTGTTGGATTGCAAAGGAAGCTGGGTTGGTGAGTTCTCAGTCTGAGAAGCTGAATTCTCCTCTTGTAATGGTGATTCAGCTATGATCTTTGAGTTTTTATCTTGACTATTTGCGGAAACACATCTCTCAGTAGGATTTTTGCTCAGAACTTCTTTTTTCTCTGGTTCTGGCAGATTAAGAGTCTCTGACTGAGATACTGGTTCTGAAGGATCATCACACTCAGCATCATCGTTTGCTATAGGAAATTGTGTTTTTAAGTTAGCATCAACTGCTTGATTAATAGCTGCATCTTCAGCTTCAACTATTTGGCTCATAGCTTTTTCAACTATTGGATTCATAGCTCCATCTTCAGCTTCAACTGTTGGATTCATAGCTTCACCTTCAGCTTCAACTATTGGATTCATAGCTGCATCTTCAACTGTTTGTTCCATAGCTGCATCTTCAACTGTTTGTTCCATAGCTGAATCCTTAGTTGGTTTTGCTGTCTCGAGATGTGGCATTGCCTCTTGACTAACCTTTTGATCCATTTTACCAACCCTCTTCTCTGTGGGTAACTGAACTTCGGCTGTACTAGAAGACATTTTTGCTGTAGTGGCGCTTCTCATGACACGGCCGTATTTAGGAGGAAAAGACTTGCCATTGTATAATTGCACACATCTTGAGCAATGCCATTCAGATTTCGGAACACCTTTTATATTGTGAGCTTGTAGACATTTCAAGTGATATCCTTTTTCACAAGCATCACAGATTAGCACCGTTTCTACTTCATTGATAGTTCCTTGACACATTTGGCATGTCATTGCTTTACTCATGTATTCTCTGGAAGGTGGGTTCCACAAGAGATTTTGTTTAGCCTGCGGTTGCAGAACTTTATGGATTAACTTAGCAATTTCAGCATGGTGGTTGTTTCCAAAAGATGAAGAAGTTTGACCATAAGTCACCCCTTTCATGCCTGGGAATGGACCTGGTGGAGTTTGAGACATAAATGGTCTAAAGCTCGGATCTGAGATTCTGGAAGAACCCTGAACAGGAACCTTGCTATCTGATGCAGTACCAAATGATATGGTGGAGGAACTGGAATGAGGTTGGGCAGACCAAGATGTAGTATTCCCAAAGTAATTTCCGGCAGGAACTGCTGGTTCATAAGAAAATGTAATAACTTGAGAGATCAGGAATACTTGTCCACTAACAATAAAAAGAAGATATGAAACTCAAAATGAAAATCTCATGGCAAAAAAGAACTGATAAACAAGATCATATAAAGAATTTACCTAGTGCCAACAGGAAATAAAGATGTCAGTAGTAAGCTCTCTATAGACAGCAAAACTTATAAAAACACTCTGAAAATGGAGGGCTAGTTAAAAAATTTATACCGAGCAAGGCACTAGTACTCAGAAGTAGCACTTAAGATTCTTCATCAAGTTTTTAACTTCTAAAGTATAATACAAACCCATAGCAAATCAACCAAAAAAATTCACCAGCTAACACAAAATTTGAGCTATTTCTTCTGCCAGTCTGAATATCTATAGAATATATAAAATGGGTACAGAACGAGGTTAGCAAAGTGGACACACCTGGTCCCTGAGAAGTACCGGTATGCATATCTGACTTAAACTGCGGTCTCTCCATTCTAGCTTGTGTTATTCCTGATGCTTCCCTTCCAGATGCATTAACAGAACTAGTGGATGCCTTCATATCGCTATTAGGCCACTGATGCGCCATAGACACATTACTTGCTGCTACAAAAATCATACAGTGAAGAAGTTTGTCACGACTGACTCCTGGAGTTATTAGCTGATGGTTTTATTGAAAATATCCATAGTCATACCTGGAGTTGAATGACCTGGAGATGTATAGGTAGTGGATACTATTGGGGCTTTTTTCAATTCTTCCATCTGTAGAGAAACATCAGAGAAAAAATAACATATTACATCATCAATAAACCACCATCAGAAGAGTAGCAAGAAGAAAGGAGACAACAAACCTTTCTCTTGCCAAGAGATAGCTTCTCAGAGATGGTTAATTTAGGAGCTCGAAACCCTAATCTCTGATCTTTAAGCTTACCATTCAAACCCAGATCTTCAATCACAGCTCCAATAGCATCAATACCAATAATATCTTTGGGAGTAAACTCTTGACACATGTCAACCAATTTCGATTTAGCTTCCACCATAAGCTCAATCTCCAATTCCGTCGGAGTTTTCCCACCTCGAATCTTTCGCAATGCCGATAACACCAATACAATCTCCGCCACTCTATTCACTTCTTCATCAAAACGTGGCTTCTTCTTCACCGGCGATTCTTCCACATTTTCTTCATCTCTCTTTTCTTCAACAGATTCAAGATTCTCCGGTACATCACTAATCGCCACATCCATCCTCAATACGACGTCGACGAGAGGAGAGAAAGAGACCAATCGGTGAGTGAGAGAGTGAGAGAGAAACCCTAGAAGAGAGAAAGAGAGGGAAGATCTGAGTTTTTTTTTTTTTTTCTGAGAGAAAGTTTGGGTTTTTCTTCAAAATTTGAAAAGAAATTAAAAGATTAAAATGTCACAAGACCTAAATTTTCGCGGGTTAAAATTTGGGGAAATTTTAGAGAGGACGAGTCGATTACCCAAATTTTACAAAAGAGTTTGCAGCAGCAGAAGACGTTGGTGGTGGTGCTTCGGCTTTTTATTTTCTAGACAGATAATTAAAAGAAGAAAATGTTAAATATTAAATTGTTTTTCTGGGTTCAAAGTTGGGCCTGAATATACTTAGGCCTTATTATATACTTCTTATTCTAAACAGGCTAGGGAAAGTTTTTTTTTTTTTTTTCACCATAAGGCCTTATTATATATTTAAGTATGTAATTAAAAAGATATAATTCAATTAAAACAAGAAAAAATTATAGAAAGGAAAAAGTTATTAAAGAGGAAATATATCTTATTATATAAAATCTACACTTTTAACACGATGAGAATATAAAGTTGAAAAGGTAAAAAAAAGTTAAAACACAAATCGTTCGTTGAACCAAGAAGACCTAAAGCTGATGATGATGGTGACATACAGTAATACAGATACATAATATATACATGTTTTAGTCCATTAATTGCTCATTATCTGCATTGACCGTAAGAAGAAGAAAAACCAAGCGCATGTTCTTCATTCTTCTCTCCGGCTCCGGTGAAGCTACTTCTGCCGGAATATTCACCTTTTTTGAAACTTTTTCAATATTCCTAAAAGAAACCGAAAATCTGAAACTCTCATCGATTCATCGAGAAACCAAAGTCATCATCGTCTAACAACATGGAAGAATATAAATTATTATGAGTCCCTCGATGATCCATAGAACCAAAATCATCTTCAGATTCTCCTTCTCTCAACATCTCAATCATCTCCACAACTTCTCTCATGTCCATTCTCCTCTCTTCTTCTTCTTCGCAGCATCTCAAACCAACTTTCAACAAATTGATCATTTCCGCTTTACAATTCTTTTTTCCTTTCATTTCCTTGTCGAACACGTCACCTGTTTTCTTCTCCTTGACCATATCGTTCACCCAAGTCACAAGACTCATGTTCGAATCATAACCTTGCGTTAAGTAATTTTCAGGGAATCTCCCTGTCAAAACTTCCAAGATCAACACACCGAAACACCAAACATCTGTCTTCTTCGTTATGACTTGCCCTTTCGATGGTCTATACTCTGGCGATTTGTACGCTGTCATGAAGTTATGTGCGTGCTCTGAGCTCATCACCGGTCTAAGAGCGTAATCTGTTAACAATGGTTCAAATGATTCGTCTAAAACAATGTTCGATGACTTTATATGACCATGAGGTATCGTTAGTGTTGGTAACTCGTCGAACAAGTAAGATAAACCCTTTGCTACTCCTTTTATGATCTTTAGACGTGTTATCCAATCCAATCCAGCGGAATGATTCGCTGCAAACATATAACTCAGATAGTTAGACTACCTAATTATTGCAAATTTTTATTGAGATGAAAGTCTAGGAAATGTAATGTCAAAACATACCATGAAGATGGTTTGCCAAGCTACTATTAGGCATTAATTGAGTGATTAGAAGCTTCTCTTCTCT